GGACAAATGGGATGTTAAGGTCATGATGTAGGGTTTTGTTGGATACATAGAAAGGAGCATCGACTATTGTTCGAAGGACTTTAGACTGGAAGGATTGGATGCGCTTGATGTTAGAAAATTTTGCTGATCCCCACAGTTCTAGTCCGTAAGTCCAAATAGGTTTCAGTATTGTCTTGTAGATCAGTAGCTTGTTTTCAATGGAAAGTTTAGATTTTCTGCTTAGTAGTCGGTATAGTTGGCCGTATCGTCGGTTGAGTTCTTGTCTTTTGAGTCTAGTATGCGGGTTCCAAGTTAGTCTTCGGTCTAAATGAAAGCCAAGATACCGGACTGTGTCTGAATAAGGAAGCTGGATGGAATTAAAGAGTACTGGTGGACAGGAATTGCGTCGGAGTGTAAAAGTAATGTGTTGGCATTTAGATTCATTAACTTTAATGCGCCAGTTATTACACCAGTGCTCAATCAAGGTGAGATGACTTTGGAGATTTAAGGATGCTATTTCGGGATCAGAGTTGGATGATAAGATTGCGGTGTCGTCAGCGAATGTTGCAAGAAAAGTATCGGGATGAACAGGGATGTCAGCAGTAAAGAGGATGTAAAGCACGGGACCCAAGACGCTGCCTTGGGGAACACCGGCTTTAACGGAGTAGATATTGGAAAATTCTGTTCCACAGCGAACTCGAAAGGAGCGGTCAGAGAGGTAGGATCGGAGGACTAGGTACAAGGACTGAGGTAAATGGATTTTAAGCTTGGAGAGCAGTCCGGAGTGCCATACCCGGTCAAATGCCTGTGCAATGTCCAGAAAGGCACCCGAACAGTATTCCTTGTTTTCTAGGGCTGAGGAAATATGATCAACGACTCGGAGTCCTTGTTGAACAGTAGAATGTTGAGAGCGAAAACCAAACTGATGGGAAGGGATATTTTGGGATTCTATAATGGGTAGGATTCGTTTCAAAAGGATCTTTTCAAAAATTTTTGAAAGGATTGGGAGTAGGCTGATTGGTCTATAGGATGTTGAGCTATTGAGAGGTTTTCCTGGTTTTGGGAAAAGGATAATAGTGGAGTGTTTCCATAACAGAGGGAAGTGGGTGGTGCGTAGGATACAATTGTAGATATATGTAAGGAATATGACTGCTTTGGATGGAAGTTGTCGAAGGATTTGAGGTGTAAGGAGATCATGTCCAGGAGCTTTACGGAGGATTAGTTTTTTTAATTGAAATTTTACTTCGGAAGGATGAATAGCTTTTGGGGGCAAGGAAAGTGGGATTGGTGATGTAAGGAGTTCTTCTACTGTTACGGTGTGGGCAGGATGGGATTCCGGATGTGAAATAAATGTATTGGATAGGTGAATGGCGAACTCCTCAGCTTTATCTTCGTCAGATGCTGCCCAGGAGCCATCACCTCGTCGGAGAGGATGGGAAATGCGGTGAGGATTTAGGATTTTTGTTGTGGTTTTCCAAAGGGAATTGTCGCGAGAAGAGAGGGAGGATAGGTAGGAGTTGAAGGATTGTGATCTGAAGGTGGCTAATTCCAGTTTTAATTGTTTGCAGTAGTAATTATAGGAGCAGCGGTCGGTAGGATGTCGGGATCGTTGCCATAATAATCTGGCACGGCGTTTGGTGCGGATTAGGTTAAGGAGGTGTTGGGGTAGAATGGTCTTTATAGGAATTCTGGAGGAGTCTTTTGGAAAGGAGGCAGTCCAGGCGGCTTGTTGGATTGTGGTAGTAAAGGAATTTACGGCACTATCAAGGTCATCGGGAGTTTTGAGGGATATGTTGAGATCAATATTATCGGAGATTATTTGGCGGAAAAGGTCCCAGTTTACTGGGCCCCTAATGAATGACGGTGGAGAAGGTTTGGGAACAGGTTCAAGTGAAACATTAAGGATTAGAGGACTATGGTCAGAGGAAAGTTCATTTAGACGTGTAATGGAACAATTGAGGGGACTTAAGCCGCTGTGGATAAAGAAATCTAGAAGATCAGGATTACGGTTGGGATCTGTGGGCCAGTAGGTAGGAGAGTTGGGGGAAAGGAGGTGAAAACGTTGGGAATTGAGTGCAGACAGCAGGGTTCGGCCACGAGAATTCGTGGTTCTGGAACCCCATTGTTGGTGCTTGGCATTTAGGTCTGCACCCAAGATGAAGTGATGTCCTAAGGAGTCGAGGAGAGAACTGAATTGGGCATTGGATATGGATCGGTTAGGAGGGCAATACGCTGATGCAAGAGTGACCGGAAAGGAGAAGGTTTTTATCACGATAGCGGTGGACTGTAGGAAATCATGTATTGGTAATGGGAGTAGGTGATGGGAGAGGGATTGGTGTACAATTACAGCAGTACCGGCATGTGCTTTTCCGTCAGGGTGGTCAGTACGATATGTCAGGTATTGTGGTATATTGAAGTGCTGTTTAGTGGTTAGTCGAGTTTCAGTAATTAGTGCCACATCAATGTTCTTGTCAAGTAGTAAAGTAGATAGTTCGTCTGTATGATTTCTAACACCATTCGCATTCCAAAGGAGAATGGATATGGGTTTAGGGATGTGAGTCATTTAAGGATTTTTCAAAGGAGGGATGAGGTGAGATACGAGATTCGTGAGGAGTGATATGAGTGGAGTAACAAGGGATTTGAAATCGGTGAGGAAAGATGCTAACAAACTTGTGAGATCTGTTGCATTTGAAGGAGGAGGAATATGAGGAATTTGTTGTTGGTGGTTAGGTATATTAGGATGAAGAGGATTTTGAGGTTGGGTTTGAGGTTGTTGTTGTGGCAGGGCTTGACATTTATCGGTTAAAGTCTTACCTCTCAGTAGTTGGGAGAATGATACATCATTGTTTACAATTCTGGAAGGCTCTCTCTCTCTTCTTGTTCTTAGTGCTTCATCTTGAATCCGGTTTTTCTGGTGTCTGGTTTTGAGATTCTTGTAAATTTGGCAGCCTTTGTAGTTGGCCGGGTGTCCCTCCAAGCATAGGGCACATACTGCTGGATCTTGTATAGGTTTGGTGCACTCTACAGATTTGTGCTGTTCACCGCACTTCACGCAACGCGGCAGATGGTGGCAATATGTCTTCGTGTGGCCATAGGTCTGACAATTATGGCACTGCACGATGTCTCTCTTGGGATATGGCTTCTCAACTTTCACCATTGTATAGTATATTCTTGTGATATCATATATTTTTTCGATACCTGGTGATGGCTCCAAGTCCACGAAAAACAATGGTAGTGGGATCCTATTTCGTAATCCTGGCTGTTCCCTGTCCTCCTTCAAAACGTTTGTTACCTGGCGTACATTGAAACCAAGCGTCGTTAGTTCTTCTTTAATAACTTCAGTGGGGGTTGAGGAATGTAAATTTCTTATCACCACTCGTAAAGCTCTTTCCTGCCTCAGCTGGTAAGTGTGAAAATTCGCATTTGTTTCTGATAAGTACTTCACTATTTTTCGGTAGGCTTCTGCAGAATCAGGTGTTATCTTGGTGTCATTGGTCCTGTTAAGGCATGAATAACTGCCAGAGCAGATTTTATTTAGTTGGGTGCAGAACATCTGGAAATTTTTTATATTTTTCACAAATATCGGAGGAGGCTTTGGTTCTCTGGGTATTGCTGCAGACTCCATTACTTCTTTGTCATTTTGAAGCACTTGGTAGGGGTTTGGAGTAAAGAAAGGTGATTCTTCAATCGTTTCTTGTGCAGACGTACCTGGTTGGGGCTGAGGTTCTGGTTCTGAAGTGTTCATTTTGGTCACTGGAGGTATTTCTCGTAGGCAGCGACGAGTCCTTTGTTTGGCTGGTGAGCTAACTCCGTCTGACCGAGACCTCTTGGGCACCTTACTGGCCATCACTTGCTGATCATACCGCATATCATAAGAGAAAAATAAATAAATAAATAAAAAAAAAGAAAAAAAAAAAATTTTTTTTTTTTTTTTTTTCCTTAAAATAACAAAAAAAAAGATGCCAACAGTAAATATCAACTGCTCTGATATACACTTTAACTGTATCACGTGAATAATCAGAGAGATTCCGCTATAAAATTGGTAAAAACTGAGAGAGGAGTTGAGGAGACAACCTTCTCATCAGCTGATCCACTGCCTTGTGGTTAATAGATATATCTTAAATTTACAGAAGGTAAAGTAGTGGGGCTTACGAATTGAAGATATTTCCGAGCTCTGCCGAATTTAAAAAATCCGTCGAAGAGGAATGATTAAAGGATAAGGTAGTATATGACAGGTTTACTTGTTTAATGTAGTATATGACAGTATATACTTAAGTTAAAAGAGAGGACCCTGATGCCAGAATGCACCAAATGCCTGAGAAACATCCAAAAATAAACCAGTTGCATACAGCCTTTGTTCAAAGGTTCTAGCAATATAGTCCGAAAATCTTGTAATTGATGTATCGTCGAAAAGAATGTGCGAAAGCCGGACTGGTGGTCAGGTATTATCTCATCATAATCGGTCAGTCAATATGTCAACAAGTCTTTTGTGTGGCAATTTTTCAAATATTCTAGAGCATAAAGGAAGGAGGCTAAAGGGTCTGAGGGATCTTTACCTGGTTTGTAGATCATTTTAATGAGTGAGTATTTTGATTATAATGTGAATTTTAAAGTCCTCAGTATACAGTTGAAAGTATTTATCAGAAATACTTGAGCTTTGTCGGGCATTTGTTGGAGTGCGACTATGTGTCATTTTAATGAGAGTATATTTTTATCCAATAGGACGTTTTCCTTAGGACGAAATCGATTTTTTAAGAACCATCTGAATCAGCCCCCGATTACTAAACACGGCTTAGTAAAAAGAAAACGAACTTTTTTTTTCGTTTTTGTCAATCGTCTTCGCCAAAGGAACGAGTTTTTCGATTGGGTTCGATGGCTTCTAGATTAACGGATTGTTCGCATGTTCCCTTCTACAGCTGGAGGTGATGCTCATCAAAATTCTGCCAACATAATCTTTCGACGTCGAAAACACTCGGACCTGAAGTAGTGGGGGCACGGTGCTAGATAGTATAAAACTAACGCACTTATCGAGTTAACAAGGCTCTAAACATGGAAGTTGTATTGGTAAGTATATTTAATATTAATAATGCATATATATTTATACTTATTATTCTGTCTTCTGATTAATTATCAATTACGTCTTTTGAATAAGCAAGAATTAAATTATAACGGTATATTTTATGTCTAAAAATGAACATATTTTTATAAAAAAGAAATATTGTAAAAACTAAAATTATGCCTGTGACCATAGCCCTGATCAGAAGACCTCCTGATCAGAAGAGTATAAATTTAGACTTAATAAAATAGTTCCCAATATATATTTTTTTAGTTAAAGGTGAAACAATGATTCTTAATATAAATAAAACCATAAAAAATGGTTGAATAAATATAGCCAAATCTTATATGAAGTTTCAAATATTCTTTTTTCTTATGATCGCCTCTTCGGACCATAAAAAGAAATCTTAAAATTATGTGAGCTTCGGATGTGATCTCCGGGATATCTGATTATTTTTTGTGTCCGAAATAATTTTCTTTCAGTTTCGTGAGAACTAAAGCTGAAAAGTAATATAAAAGGGTCAACAATGAAATATAAGACTAGGACCGCTTACTATAAGACTGTATAAGTAAACAAAGTTAATACATTAAGTAATTAAATGCCCGAATTGACCCTAGACATTAAGGCATATTTTAAAAATAGATACACATTTATTATCAATCTCTTTTATTGTGTTTTACCTATTTCTGATTTATTCTATTCTGATGATTTACTTATTTAATTAATTTCTGGAAATATTTTACCTAGCTTCTATTTATGGTTGGATGTTCGGTGGCCCAGAGCTCTGAGACGCTACAGCAGGATACAGGAACTACTGACTCTTCGCCCATTGTATCCTACGTCAATGAAAATCACCACAATGGTTCTTACAAGTTCAGGTTAGTCAACCTAATCATTTCTAGGTAATAACTTCTACACCGTATCAAGCAATTTTTCTTTTAATATCAAATTCGTTCTCGTAAAGCACAACGTTCCGAAATAGATGCTAGACCAGTAAAGATAGGCAAAAAACAGGGCCGATTAAAGAAGTGAATTGATATCAAGAGCCTAAGTTGAGTGCGTTAGAAAATATCTTCAATACCGTGCGCTTTAATAGCCACTTATGTTGTCACTTATTAAAATATCTCCATGGGATTTATGAAAAATGTAATGATCTTACAAAATGATTATTATAAATTTCTTGGAGAGATGCGTAGATTATCAGTTTTGAGCAAAAAACAACGAAAATAGCTTTTCCCTGTAAAATAAACATACAGTCAACTAGCTCTAACTCGCTCACTTCACTCACTAAAATAAAAACTCCTGCTCAAAATCGATAGGACATTTTACATTTTTAAACTTTTTATATTGTAATAATGTTGATAAAATGCATAGTTTCGGAGTCATATCCAAAAAACTAAAAAAAAGTGCAGAACTTTCACTATTTTTTGCGTATATCTCGGAACGTAATGGGAAATTTCACTCGGGAATTACAAATTAAGATACAGCATCTCAAAAAAATTACAAAATCGAAGAGAAACCTGAAATTGAAATTTGAATTTTCGCCACATCCAACTTACATTCGGCTGGACTATTTCGATGACCTTGACGTCGTCAGTTTTCAAAATGCAACCGATTTCATCGTCAGTCGATGTAAATTCTCTTTTAGGGACACAGTCTTTACACCCTATAAACATTTCAGCCGTCGGTTCTTCCGATAAATGAAACATCATTCTTCCACTTTAATTTAAATTTTCGTAAAATTTCGTACACAGACCGAAGATGTGAGCTCAGATGAGGTTTATCTACAATTAAAAATGTTTACTAACTCTAAGTCCCTGTGTTAAATGAAACGGTGCGTAGCTCCCAGTCTATTGCTAGCTATCCAGTTCATATAGTCCGCGATGGAATTCAGCTTTGAGTTCGCATCTTTTTTTGTTAAAAAATAACATATCTCCACTATTTTTCAGCAAATATTAAAAAAACAAAACATTTTTTTAAATATTACTCTTATTGACTCTTTAATATTCCACAAAATCTCTGGGGTAAGCTGTTCGGAAGGTTCAGTAATTCCTCAATACGTTTTATTTCCACGGATTTTGTTCATCAGCGATTATTAATAAGAAACAGTTCCACATTTACGGATTGCATATTTGATGATCCGTGATTAAAAAAAAAATTCAGTGCATACTGAACATTAATGTAAATGAAAATTGAGTGATTTTACAAGGGAGCATAAAAACTAATTGTTTCTTTATGATTTATTAGTATAATTTTATATTCGATTGCCCTCTGCTATTTTTCGTCGTTGCAGACTGCTTATATCAGTTGCAAATTACAAAATATCACCTTTGGCACAAATAGAATAAAAGTTGAAAATGTTCATATATGACTTTTTGCCACTAACAGTAGTAATATATACTTAATATATGTGTTTTCAATCTTAAAATGGATAGAACAAAAAACCCATAGGGAAAATTTTAATATTTTTTTTTCGGAGCTAAGACCAATATTTTTTCAGTGAGAACAAAATTAATTATACTGTATAATTATAATGAATATTAACAATATTAATTATTATATAAAAATATTTGTGAAGTTCAACCAACTTTTATATTTAAGGTTGTAAATTGAGACCAAGATGATTTGGTTGAACTTCAATAAAAATAAACACAATAACAAATAAGACTATTTGTTTATAAACACAGAGTAAAGATTAATTTTAATTCACTGAAAATTACATGAAATGTAAGTACCGGGGGTACGTTTCGTGCCAGTAACGTTTAAAGTCGACCTTACAATGCAACAATACATTATAAATTAACTTTTTGGTCAAAACCTAAAATTTTATAACCCCATAAAAATATAGTTTTAACCTAAATAGCACTCCAGATGAACAATGCATTGCAAATTTTACATTCATTATACCGTTACCAATTATTTATATTAATTTTAATTATTAAATGGAATTCATTGACATTGATACTGGGTAATTTCAATACCATTCTCTAAATTTTCTCAAAGTTTGAATCAAATGGAACTATCAGTATTCATACTTATTATCAAATAATAAATTTCCTGATCTGAAAGCGGAAGTATTTCTTTTGTTGGTACTATTGGATAAAATTTGATCAAATTCATACATACTTGATTATCAGTTACATACTGGATTTAAAATTAGAGGTCACAGAGGATGATCCTTCTTCATCGACATTTCTTTCCGCATTTTTTTCATTTTATATAATTAATCGTCGTATTATATGACAGTTAAAAAATTGGACAAATTGGCCTGAACAAAATGAATCATCAACATAAATGAAAATATATACAAACGAAAAACTTTAATAACATTGAAGACTTAAGAAAGATAATAATAATTTTAATCCTATGATGGCATTAAATAAAATACATAAGGAATTACCACATTAAGAATGAAACACGTCTATAGCTACTCTGCAAAAGCTTGTAAGAGCAATTTCTATAGGAAATGAGGTTTTGAGTTTTTCATGTCAATCTTGTGCTGGCGCATATTCTGATCACACAAAATGAAATTCACGGTTCTTCTATAAAGCCTTTGTAAAAAGCTGTATTTTTAGAACCAGCAAGTTGTGATGTAAAAAATTGTATGTTTTGTGTAAGTTTTTGTTGTTACAGGTTATAGTATATGTTACTTGAATTATGTTACTGTTTGAGTAAAAGGTCGTTATATTTATTTCATATTTTGTCACCAATTCCTTTTCCTTGGCCCGGAAAGAGAGTGGGTATGAATATTCCAGTTAAAAAGCCTCTATCGGCAACTCGTCCAGCCCACTGCCTGCAAAATGTAGTAAAAACCGATTATTTCTTTCTGATTTTATGATCAATTATTATAAATTCATATTTTGTATCTCTCTGCTATCTTTGTACTAAGTAAACAAATAATAGCTGTTGCAGACTGCAAGAGAATAAACATCTAACATTGTTACATCCGACCTTTTACAGTGACAATAGCGACTTGTAATTATAATTCCAATTACTTGTTGTCAAGAAACAGTTATGTGTGAAAGCCTCAATTATAATTGAAATCATTAATTGCAAATGATTACTGTAATTGTGATTGAAAATATGATTAAATAACAATGTAAATAATTACTGGAAAATTATGGGTGAAAGTAACTGACTAGAGATGTTTTAATGAGTAACTTGGACAGTCGGGAAGAACATAGAAAAACTTGGTGATATATTTGCAGTCATGTGTGTCCTGTAGTACATTACAACACCACTCACGAACTAATGATCTTCCCTGCCCATGACAATGACCTGCTGACAGTCACGTATTAAATCCTGGGAAGTTTGTTTTGCAGGAACTCCCATGTATATTTTGGATTTTGCGATCTATTTTTTAGTATGTATATACACAAAACATCACTGTTCTATTACCGTTGTCCCTTTTTTTCTGTCACCTACAATTGTTTCATTCTTTGTAATCGGTTAAATATGTATGATACAAGATTCTTAGAAAACACTCCCTTAATAAAAAACTTGCTTTAGTTTGAAATTGTTAGCAACATAAACACAATCGTATGAAAACAGCCTCCCAGCTAAGAGTTACATTTAGATCCACAATTGATAAACGAAACTCCCTCCTATTATATTCTTAACATATAAATCAAAATAAATGTTTTAATTCATTTATTAACTCAACTCACAATTTGTTTACATACTAACTAATAATAACATATGTTCTTTTTCAACCATATGATTTAGACAATTAAATTGCAATAGAAAATATGAACTAATTTATACTTCACTAAAATACCAAAAATATCAAATTTAGAATATGCTACACCTCCAACAGCCAGAATCAAATTGATACATATAGTGACTCGGAGTACTATGGGTTTACAAGCCCTTTATCCAACAGATTAAATTCAAACATAAAGAATGCCAATAGTTTTTTAGTTTTATTTCATGTATTCAATCGTTTATTAAAATACGAATAAGACAAAGTATTATTGGTAGGATTATTCAATTTCAGAATGTAGTTTGTGATTTTTTAATTAGATGCATTCATATTTTATGTTTTGTTAGAATTTTCAATAAATAGATTTTTTTTATTTATTTATTTATATGATATTTACAACTGTACACAAAAAATACATCTGGTAAATTCGTACATGGATATAATGACATGGACCACATGTTGAGAAACTACCCATTGGTAGCACTCTAATAATATGTCTATATTAGAAGATCACGTGGCCATCTTCTTTTCAGACGCTTCAGAGGGTTATCAGGAATCGAATAGGAAGCAAGGTTAGAGACAAGAGGGTTGGGATGGTTTTGAAGTTTATTATGGAAGGACAGATATCTGGATTGGGCCAAATCTGATACATAAGGAACATTAAGGTCATTATGGATAATTTTATTTGTAACAAAGTAAGGAGCAATGAGGATTTTACGAAGGATTTTGGATTGTAAGGATTGTATGCGAGAGGAATTTGAAGGTTTGGTGGAGCCCCATAGCTCAACTCCGTACGTCCAAATAGGCCTTATTATAGTCATGTAAATGAGTCCTATATAATTGATTGGAAGGTTAGAGCGTTTGTCTAGTAAGTGTTGAAGTAGTCGGAAACGTCGAGCTGTTTCTTGTTGTTTCAGTCTGGTATGGGGATTCCAAGTTAGACGTTTGTCCAGATGGAGTCCTAGGTTCAATAAATAGAACAATTTAAAAAAAAAACTAAGAAGAAATAATTATCTATATATATAAATGTAATTTAATCCATTATTCTCTAGTATAGTACAATACACTCCAGTAATGATACAAAATATTACATGGCGGGTTCATCGGGCATCCGCAACTTCAAATTATGAGCATTTTTTTTCTTTTTTCAGTTATCAAACATCTGACAGCATGTCGGTCGAGCAAGAGGGCTATGTCCGCGAGGTGAGCGAGAACAAAACAATCTACGCTGCACGTGGATCATACTCCTACGTGGATCCTAATGGTAAGCTGGTCACCGTTGTCTGGTACGCGGATGAAACTGGATTCCATCCTTCCGGGGATAACATTCCCGCCGAGGAACCGGGACTTTCCCTGAGACCGGGTTCCGCAGGAGGGTCCGTTCAGCCTCTTCTACCTGAGTTCTGGAGAGGCTGAGGAAGATTCATCGATGGCCAAGATTACAACTACTGAACGAGCAAACGAATTTAGATTATGTTAATCTGTGACATCTATTGTGTATGTAATTATACCGGTTCAATAAATTATCTAACAATTGAAACAACTAAAACGAAGTTATTTCCTTATAATCCTGTTGTTATAAAAAGTTTGAATTTGACTGTTGAAAATATTAATTTAATTTATTCTCATAAGTGACTCTTGAAATGCATTTCATATAAAATTTAATATGTAGAATACTGTTCCGATCAATAATTTTAAAAGAAAAAAACGAAGTTATCAAAAATATCAATTAGGTACATTTATTGATATACATTAACAAAGGGTTGTTATTTGATTTTTTAATAGTTAAAACTACACGGTACATAACAATCAAATATGGCGAAATATTAGTGCAACAGGTTTTATATAGAAAATAAGAACCGATTATTTCTTTATAATTTACTAATATGATTTCCTGTTTTATTTCGCTCTGCTGTTTTGCTATTTAGCAGGCTACTTATAGCAGTTGCAATTAAAAAAAAAAACGCTGCAAATTATTTCACAATGGTTTATTATTTCCCAACAATTATACATCTAAAGTAACATTACCTCTCTAGTAACAAATTGAAAGAAATAAAAAGTAAGTAATTCCAATTATTTGATTAAACATTTTTTTCCATCATTAGTAATTTGCTAAAAAAAAAGTAGCCTTACTTCAGTAACACATTCGAAAATCAATACCCAAAACAAAGGATTTGCAATAGAACATAAAAAACATCAAGAGATCATATCTTTGCTCCAAGTTGTTCGATGTTAACGATTTTTTGGGAAATTTCGTAAACTTTTAAAAACCATACACAGTATCGACAAAAAAGTTTATAATTTTTGAGTTATTAAGAATCTAATTTTATCATCCCTCGAAACTTTTTTCCGGCTTCTTTTCGTTGAAGTATGTTATACAGATAAATTTAAACGGTATCAAGAAGACGACTTTAGCGAAGTTTCATTGAAATCGGTATATTCGTTTAGGCGCTACAGTCTGTAGCTATGCAGGTTTTTCGGCCACCGTTTTGAAAGTAAAAGGTGGACAGTAAGGTCGATGAAGAAAGATCATTCTCAGACGACATCTGATAATAAATCCAAATTTGAAAAAAATCGGTCGAGTAGTTTTGGAGAAAATGCGCACGGCGGACGGACAAAAAAATGTTTATCCTTTTTTCGAATTATACGTATCCTGAAATGTAAAACCTCAAATTTCGGGAGGGGGTTAAGTTTTTGAATATTTTCTTTGATTACAATGATTCATTATTGAAAATAATAAACCATTAAGTAAAACTAACAGTAGCGATATGACATATATTCACCAAAACTTTTATAGCATCTTCTCATAATATAAATATTATTATTAAATATAAATGCATTAACACAGTAAGTAAAATCAGTTTTCAGTTAAAGAGTTTTGGCTTCATAAATAAATGTTTGAATTTTTGGAAATGTTGATGTTTTGAGGTGTGTTTAGACATTTCACAAATTATGGGACAAAGGAATATATAAATAGTTATTTCACTATGCTAGTATTTTTGTTTTTTTGTTTTTAATATTTTCTATCTGCTATCAGTATCAAAAGAAATAAAATAAATATTTTATTATAGCAATTATGTCGCTGTTATTTAAGTTAAAGAATTGTGTTTTCCATAGTTTGTGAAGCGTCTAAATGCATCTTTAGAAATATAACAATAAGGTACTGATTATTTTATATATTTTTTTTTACCACTGTTGATCCAAGTAATCTGATTTGCTATTGAAGCAATTTATACATCAAGTATTAATCTCATTGAAGATTAATTCATTAGTGACATGATATGAAGCATTAAAGATTTTTCAAACAATTTTGGATAAGAGCACAGAGAGAATTGGGATATTCGTTTGAATCTGTTCAACTCAAGAAATTCTGTTAGTTTGTTATTATTGTAATGTAATTGAGCTTTTCAAAGTTTATTAGAAAATTACAGATATGTAAAACATATAAAAAAAATGAAACGGATTTTTTGATAAAGAAGCAGTTTAAAAAATGTATCCCTTCATCCCTTTATTTTTAACTTAAAGTATTATCTACTACAATGGGAGGTTGTAAATCAATATATTGAATATTTAAATTGTTCAATTACATAGAAAGATGTTTTTATTGGGAAAGATTTGTCCTATTTAAGAGAAAATTTTATCTGTTTAATATTTTACAGAAATTCAAAAATCTCTTATAGGTTTGGTTTATTCATCAATATTAAGATACAGATTGATTTATAACAATCAATGTAAATAATTTGTGCGGAACTTTCTTTAAACGAAACTAAGTTTATTCCGTAATTAAAAATGTTACAAGTGTGTAGCTTATACTGCTATCGTACTATTTTAGTGTAACAGAAACAAAAGGAATGTTATTCTACGCATAAATAATATAAATAAATAATTCTTTACAACACTAAAAGAAATGAAATTCATTTTTTTAAAACATGAGAGAATACTTTATAATATTGAAAGAGTTACCTAAGGAAGGAATAATATTGAAGAACATAGCTCATGACAATTTATTTTTCATGTATAATTTTTATAAATTTAATTTGAGCATTTAAGCTTAAAAACGATATGGCCAACTTTATAGACTACTCAATATGGGCCATTCTCTCACTTTGTTGGAATTTCGAAACTGTGATTCTATCAGAAAAAATTAATGTAATAAAAGGTTTTTTTTTTCATAAACAACTTAACAATAATTCACTAATGTCACTAGCAAAAAACCCCGTCACAGAATGTAGTGTATATGCACATTTAGGATCATGATTGAAATCATGAAAGTGAGGAAAATAGAGAGGGTGTGAGGGAAATAGAAAACAGTCAACATTTAATTAATAAAATATTTTATTATCAAATCAGTAAATTAAAAGGTATTATTTGACACTGTATGGACATGTAAACAGAAAACAAGAACAATAATAATAAATAAAATAAACATTTGGAATCGTGAAACATTATAATATAAATTTATTTTTCGAACGAAAAGGAGTGAAATTGAAGTTACCACTGTGATTTTATTTTGAAACTAATTATAGGCTTTTACTAGGATAGCCTATAATTAGTTTCAAAATAAAATTATAGTGGTAACTTAAATTTCACACTTTTTCCACTACTTCCGGGTCAAACGAAAAGACTTGCTGGATACTCCTGTTTTGATTTTTACTTTTGGAGCGGTAATTCCATCAAAATATGGAAGTCTACTGCGCAGACAGAACTGATTGTTTTCGTTTAAAATGAAATCACGTTTTGAATTTCGAAACGAATGTAGACCAAAAGCAGTTATTTCATTATTGCATACACTAGTCAATCTGCAAACGTAACGATACTCCTTTTTACCATCAAATCGTGCAATGATGTAATTCCCCTCCTTTGGTTGACCATAAGGATTAGCACCACGTGTTTCCTCAGTGATTAATATATCTTGAGGTTGGGTGTCTATAGGAGCTTCAGGTTCTCAAATCAAAGTCACAAGAAGCGAGCATGGATGAAGCGCAGATGTTTCTTCTAATGTTTCTTTATCTACTTCAAGAGTGTTGGATATAGCAACACCAGAACTTGTTTCGTGAAATCCGATGGAGAAATTGTTGAACTTCAAGCAAACAAAACAACTTAATTTGTTTATTTATGAAATCCTTCTAGCAGTTCCACTAGGAAACTAAGGTTAACCTACTAAGGTGGAATACTACCAAGTAGACCTGCATAGTACCTTTGAACGGCGAAAGCAGCTTTGAAATCAATTATGATATTCCAGAAATGTCTCTGGTGCTATCACATACAGTATGACTTTCCTTTTTTTTTTCGAAGTACTTCTATGAAAGTTTGGAAGCTACTAATACCATGCCCACATGCGACTGGTGTGTCCGCCGTTCGCTTCAAACAACCTCCGATTCCATCCACTGCACCCTTGCCGTCACTAGGAGCAGAATAGTTCCAAGTGGCATATTTCAGAAGCAGCTTGCTTTGCCCTGTTCTCTCTTTTCATCAATATCTCAATAATTCTTTGTTTCTTTTTGTAACCATCTTCCAATTTTTTTTTTTTTTTTTTTTGTTATTTTCACCTTTAATTTTGTCCGGTTTTGTCTCTTTCGTTTTCTAGCAGATTTGAGAATGTGTTGCATTCTGCCGGTGGATTCTTTGGCTTTCTGATTCCGTACACTTCTTCCTTTCAACAAATGTTAGTGAATTTATTATTATGTTTTAAAAAAAAGGAGCCAATGGGGGTAAAATTTGGAAAGTTCTATAATAAATAAAGGTTCAGTGTCTATTTATATTTTCTTCTCAGAAAGGGATTCTGTCACTAATTAAATACATTTCTTCATGCGCAAATCAGGGATTCATTTTAGTTTTATTTATCAATTAAACTCGGAAAATATGTATATCAGAGGTCTGGTTTTATCTTATTTAAATTAAAGTTTATCATACTGTGCTCTATTTCCCTCCCATCTATTTCCCTCACTTTTAGTGTTGTGAGGGAAATAGAATTTTGAGGTTGATTTGAGTTTAACCATGCACATGCATTTCAAAACAAAACAAAAACAAATCGAGCTCTGAACTCCTTTAGAAACATGTACTTCAATGAAAATAAAACGAGAATCGAACTTACCTTCTTTGAAAAATCACTATATGAGAGAAATAGAATGATGAATGACGTGATTCAAACACTTGTATTAACACGAACTTTACGAAACAAACAGAGGAAGTTACTTGTAAATAATGTTACTCTAAGTGTTGAAGGGTAATGTTGTTGGGTAATAATGTTGAAGGGACGCTACTGGAGTGTTTCTAACCTAATAATGTAATGAAATGTATCTTGGGTGTTCTTTGGCGGTCTTTTTTAAAAAAAAATGTGAGGGAAATAGATTGAACCTATAGGACTGATGCATTAGAGGTAATTCTTATTATTGTAAGCAATTATTTTCACTATCCATTTTAAAATTCGAAATATTGCAACTTATCAGAGGTAATAGAAAAAAAAAGTAAGTTAATAATTGCAGAAATAGAGAAATGATTTGCCTTCAACATT